ACTTCAAACAAAACCACCCCGAATGAGTATACATCAGACTTGTCCGTCAATTGCTGTCTCGTGTAGTACTCCGGATCTATGTAGCCGAAACTCCCCTTGACCTGCGTGCTGATATGGCTGTAAATCCCACTCGGACCGAGTTTGGATAATCCAAAATCCGAAACTTTGGCCACCCATGTCTCGTCCAATAATATGTTGGTTGACTTGACATCGCGGTGAATGATAGTGTGCTTGGTGCCCGTGTGGAGATAATCCAACCCTTTGGCGGCGCCAATGCAGATTTGAAGGCGTTGTTTCCATGGGAGCGGTGGATTGTCTGTTCTATAGAGATGATCGCGGAGGGTCCCATTAGCCATAAAATCGTAAACCAAGATCATCTCACCCTTTTCATCACAGTAGCCTATCAAAGAAACCAAATGAAGATGTCTTAAATTTGATAGCAACTCGATCTCGGTTTGGAATTCGCGGGCACCCTGTCTTGATGAAGGATTTAATCGCTTTATCGCAACCGTGGTTAGATTGTTGTCTATGTACCCTTTGTACACGTTTCCAAATCCCCCGGTCCCAACCACAAACTTGGCATCGAAGTTGGCAGTAGCGGATCTAATCTCTTCCAACAAAAATCTCCTAAGCGACGATGAACCTGAAGCTCCAGTCTTTGTTGACCTTGGTGGGGTTGAAAGTGGGGTGCAAGATGACTTTGGAGCACTTTTCTGGTCCAAGTCTTTTACCCTTCTCTTCCATCGCCACCGGAAAATTAAGAAACCAAGGATTAAAATCACTTAAACCCCTCCTGCCGCCCCTCCTCCAATGGCAGCAAACAGTACCCGAGGTTTTCCGGGACTCCCCTTAATCGGTGACTTCTTGTTTGATGCCAGAGAATTGGGATCCTTCGATAGATTTGGATTGGTCCCGCCAAGACTGCCGTCGGAGGTATTCAATTTGAACAATTCTAAGCCATTCAAGATTGCATCGGCATATTTTGGTTTGACGTCAAGATTTGGGTGCAGAGCAAGAAACAAGTCTTGCTTGGTCCAGTGACTCTCTGGTGGCTTTGGAACGAACAAGAGGTAATCTCTGAAAATCGGGATTCCTGGGCCGCCTGCCCAATGTATAATATCAGCTTCTAGCTCAGCTGTTCTGTTACTGATAAATATTTTGAACACCCGTTGGTTATCCTGTGTAATCAAATCGGGATCAATCTCACAAAAATGCAACCTCATGAGATAATAAAACCCAGAATCAACAGGAAACATCCAGCTCAAGTTGAAGCGGGTGCTGAACTCTCCCATCGCCCTGGCAGTAGAATAAACAACTGGGGGGGCGGTGTAATTTGGGGTCTGTGGAGTGTACTTGATGGCAATTTCATTATTGCTCAGTGGATTTCCTAGATCTGCGCCCCAGAGGAATTCGTCATCCGGAGCCCATTCGCGAAACATCCCACCATCGTCCACCACAGAAACAACACTACCTCCTACGTTGAGCCTGTAAAGAGTTTCAAAGGCACTCTTATCCTGATCAAACCCGAACTGGACATTTGCGAATTTGAGGGGATTGCTGTACATATCATGGTTGCCCATGTAGATATCGTCCTGGGTTGAAACAACTTCAAATTCCATTAAGGAAAGCGTAGGAATTTGATAAGGGAAAAAAGGTAACATTAAGGAGTTGATTCATATCCTGAACATTGATGATATATTCTTTTTTAACAACAGAGGCCGGTGAGAATCCCTTGGTAGAAACTGTGAGATATGGGCTAAAGTTGCTGAGAAGGGTGTAGCTATTAGCTGTGACAGTGAAGAAAGATTCAGCCGGGTTGAGGCCGCTAGAGTTTGAGACAGCGTGGAAGTAAAGGCGGAGGAACTTCCTGCCAAGGCTGACAGGGAAGATGTAAGAGAATTGAGAACGGATGATTCGGGCACTTGAAAAAGGGACTTCGCTGACTGAGGAGTTGAATTCAGTAGCTGTGACTGCTATTGAAATATTTGCCATGTCGTTCGGTGAGAATTTTGAGCCCACGTCGCCGTCCCATTTCCGGCCATCGACTGAGGTTGAATTCAAGGATGAGCCGCAGTTGATCAGGATATAATCTGTGGGGGTGTAAGACGGAGTGCTGTCCGTGGAAGCGATGACGAACAACGAATTGAAGAGAAAGCAGAGGTATACAAGAAAAGTGAACATTGGAGCAAAGACTTGAAGGGAAAAAATAAACAAGAAAAGGTATATTTTTTCGGCTCAAATGCTAACTCAATTTTCTGATGGAAAAATTGGTCGTTTTTCCATTGACGCGTAGGATTAGGATTTCGCCATTTGTCTTTAAGAAATGTTGTGGAATTTAAAATCCCCAATTCAGGTGAAGAAGGAAACGTTAGTAGATGGCAGTCTATCGTGGCCTTGTTAAGTTGGAAAAGTCAATTAAGACCGCCACAAATTGTGACATTTTTGTGGGAGACAGGGATTGAATCCCTGACCTCCAGCATCACCTTTAATGGTGATGACCACCGGATCAAATGCCCAGTGCCTTGGAAAAGTCATGTCGTTGGGCAGATTTAATGCGTCATGTCATTGGGCCAATAAAATGCACGCGTATAGATTTATTCTCCCAAATAAAGCTGACGTAAGCAGCTACACCATGGCAAATAATTAATTGCACTTCTCTCTTTTTAATTACAAGCAGAAGCCATCAAGAGTTGCATTTAATCGGGGTTTTCTTGATCTAAGCTTACATGATTAATCGATGGTTATGTAACCTAGAATTATGGAGCAAAATTGGCTTAGAAGTATGATGCATTCTCTTGGTAATTTAATTTTATTTTTCAGAAATGATCCAAATTTTCACTTTTCAAACCATGCAAAACTTGCTTTAAATTTTGAAAACATACCAATATCGTTCCATAATCCAATTTCGACCAAGTTTCTGGCAAAATCGAAAAATGGAAAAACATGCGCATTATATCAAATTTCGACCAAATTTCAACCACATGCGCATTATATCAGGTGCAAAATGGAAAAACGAAATTCTTCCCAATCAAAACTAAAACAGAAAATGATGAATTTCATCCCCTTATATTTTTGCAAAATATTTTTTTCCATCGCACATATTTAAAGCTTGTAAAATCTATACCCTTACAAGTTGAAGATGTACTACTAATTTCCTCCAAAAAAATGAGTTTTTATCAACTTTTAGGTAAAGGGTAGCATACCCTAGTTTAGGTTTGCAAACGGATCAAACCGTTCGTGAGCTGCTCGAGTTAAAAATCGACTCAAGTTTAGTTGATATCGAACTCAATTCGAGCTTGAGGTGACCAAGTCAAACTCGAGTTCAAAGATACTTAGTTCATTAATACGCGAGTCAACTCAATTATATAAATATTTATATTAATAGTAAAATTATATATATATTTCTAATATTTTATTATTTGTTAAAAAATTATTATTTTATTCATTTTTTAAAATATAAAATAATTTTTATTTTTTAACCATGAGCTCGAGCTCGAGCTGTTACATTGAGAGTTCGCCGAGGTCAAACTCGAATTCGAGTTTGATAAAACTAAGTTAAAATTCGACTCAATTAGACCAAAACTCAATTCGAGTCGATTTGTTTGCAACTCTAACCTAGCTACATTACAATATTTCAAGGCTGTTAATCAACTGAATGACCAAAGCAAAAGCAAATAGCGAATTAAACCTCGTTGCTTCGCTGACGGATCAATGTTTCATTATTTGAAGGAAATAGTAATGCATAGCCACCAAGCCAGAAAAATTCGACTGCAAATTGTTGATGTAGTAATTTATAAAAGCTAGATAAAATTCTTCTATGTTTCAATGATGTTTACTTTTTTTTTGGCTTGCTCTACTTTTATACAGCTCTCATCTGTTGTGTTATCAACAGATTCATAGACGAATTTGTCCTGTTCCATGGGCTTGATTATATTTTCTTCAAATAATCAACATGCAATAACTAGTGAAGCAACGAGAATCTAGTGCGACATCTACTTTTGTCTTCGTCACTTGGTTGACTAATAGGCCTTGAGATGATTTACAATTGATTTAGATTTGGTTTTGGGATGAAATTGGTACATGTTCAAAATGACAGGGATGGTTTTGCATTCTTTTAAATGTGATGGATGAAAGAAAATATTTTCAAATATGTGAGGGACAAAGTTGGCCATTTCCTCATTTAATTTTAAAGGGGAAGAGTTTTACCTTTCGATTTTGCCCCTAATATATTAAGCGCGTGATTGGGGTATGAAATTCTTAGCTGGAGAGTTGATCGAATTTGATTTTGTGGGACTAAAGTGGTATATTTCCAAAATATAAGCATTATTTTATGAATTAATCTTCTATACACTGACAACGTATACACTTTCATCGTTAGATGTATGACATGTAATCCGAATTTGAATTTGAAATTCGAATTTTACATATGTGTCGTATATCCAATCATGATAGTATATACATCGTTAGTGTATAAAAAATTTACTCTTATTTTATATGATTGTAAGTGTGGGGCATGAAAAAATCTTTGCTGAAAAAATAAGGGACTAATTGGGTCTTTTTTTTTTTATTTTCGGCCTGGTACAAAAATCTTTTTACCATAGCTGTGAGAATGAAATAGAACAGCAAATAAGGACTTGATTGGATTTACATTTCATTGATCAGAACTTGATTTTGGGGTGCAGAGATGCTGAGAACATCCATGATAATTTAGCAAGAAAGAAGGAATAAGGACACAGAAGTTTTCTCCTTTCTAGTGGTGGGGTTAAATTCTTATAATTTCTTATCATCCTCGAGCAAGTCTTTTGAGCAACGTTACTTATTTTAAATTCAAATGATCGTCATTTTTAGAGGACAATTGTAAGTTATCTTTGAAATTACAATGACTAAAATTATCTTTTTCTATCGAAAAAAATATCAAATTATACTGTAAACATTAAAAATTATTATGCATATCTTGGTTCAGGTGCTCATTTCCCTTTATCATACAATGAAAAGGAATGGTCTGTCGCTTCGGAACATCCAATAAAATTGGAATGGTACAGAGAAGATTTGCAAAGACTGTGCAAGGGTGACACAAAAAATGAGAAAAAAATGAGAATGGGTATTAGTTAATGCACTTGATTTATACCAATGATTCCAATGTGAAAGCACGTACTTACCCTCCTTGTCCTTCTTGAATTTAAACACTTTCCTTGTTTAATTTTAATTTACTAAATAGCTTGCGCATGAGACCTCTCTTGATGGGTCCAAGTGATGAATCCATACTTAGGTTCATACCTTAGATTTTCATATAGGAGATTTCTAACGAGTGCCTATACAACTAAATCATACCTAATTAGCTACATAAATTCACACATTAACAATTATTATCCTATTTTACATTTATATATTTTTTCTAATTAATATTATTTTTTTCAAAATATGAACACGTGAAATCCATTGGACATTCGTTTGACAGACTCTTTCATATATAACCATTCTACTCTAAATAAATAACCTGTGATCATTAAAGATTGAACCGAAATTCAAATTAAATAAAATATTTTTATTGATTAAATGCTAGTCAGATTGATTGCAAATTCAAGCATCACAATAGGCAGACCTTTCTGGGATCTACAGCTTCTTTTATCTTGGACCATGCACAATGCAGCAGCATTGAAGACCACTAAATCCCGGAACGCATAAAACATTATTGATGTGCAAGTCCACGTAGCCACACTGCTCGATGCAATCAAGTCTTGTGGTGCATGTACCAACAAACTTGCAATCGCTATACGGTCCATCATCGTCGTCGTTAATCTCTGCAACAATATATATATACCAATTCACCGTTGAATTATTACTTAATTCTATACCCAATCCAAAAGCAATTAAAATCTTATAATACTCAAAATTAAAATCAAAGGCTCGATTGATTTGTGATCTCCACTTTCGAGTTTCTATCAACGTATGATACAGCTTAGATAGAAGCATTACCATTAGAATATCCAGAAAGAAGAAGAGTCATGAGGATGAGTGAAACCAATTGAACCCTTCTTGATGCCATTGTGCTGTATGTTGATGCCAAACCAATATGAACAGCAAATACAACAGAACTACCCTTGCCTATTTATAACGAATGATATTGATAATTAGAAACGTGTCATCACCTATGTGGTTCAGATTTAGGTTCAGGTTGACCTGTGTACACACTTTGACAAATGGCTTATCCGTATATTAAAGCTTTTGAAAATCCGATTCATCATCTTAGAGTGAGACAATTCGCAGATTAATTGGCTATTGTCGTTTTTTGCTTGAGTGGTTTTTGATGTGGAACCGTTTCTAAATGAAACTGATAGAAGACCAACTTTCAAAAAAGATTTACCAACCGTTTGGTTGGTGGGTTTTCTACTCTTCAATGGGTATAGAAAGTGCTTTATACCCATAGATGATGTTTGATATACTTCTATGGGTATTGTTCAATCACAATCAAAAAGCCAAAAGTAGGTAATGGTCATTACTGACCAATTTGTGGGGGAATGAACCCCATTGACGAATTTAACACTAAATGGCATAAGAAAAATACAAAAAAGAATGAAGATACGGCTATCTGTCCATAGCGACGCCAGTCTTTCTTTCTTCTTGTACTCTTTCTTTTCCCCTTTTTTCCTTTTCTTTTTGTATTTTTGTAAGCATACTCATGTTCCTTCCTTTCCTTTATTCTCTCCTCCAATCTTTTTCTTTCTCTTTTCTCTTGATGGCCAGTAGTAGGTGGCGGTGGTGTTGGTGTCCATTGTTGCTTGGGTGAAGCTTTTTTTTTCTGGCAATTATTGTAACTTTGACAAACTTTTCTTTATGAAACCTTAACACCCTTAATCTTGTGATTTGCAGGCAAAACATAGCATCAACTTGTGTGTGTGTGGTTTTTTGTTTTTTGGTCTTCAAGATTTTAAGTTTCACTCCATGTGTTATTGGACAATTTGATGTCAAATTAATTTTAAATTTAACTTCTCCAAAGTGAGATGATTGTTTTGATAGTCATTTGGCTTATAAATTTTTTGAACTTGCCACGTTGGTGGACTTGCCACGTTGGTGGTGATGGTGGTTGAAGGTGGTTGGGGTTTAGTATTGGAACTTAGGAAGAAGAAGGGGAAATGAAAAAAAATAAAAAAATTTGAAAACCCATTCCTTTTGATTACAATACCAAACAATCAATAAGGTTTTGGTAATACTCATTGCCATTGAAGAATTTTTGATAGCCATTTCTATTGCTATTCCGTAGTGTATGCCAAACAGCTGGTTAGATATGGCAACCAACCCGCTCGGGTAGGAGAAATGAGGCAGGGGTGGGAGTGGGGGATTTTTCTTACCCCGCCTCAAATGGGGCAAGGGATGGGGGAACATACCATGCTCCATCCCTCGTTTAAATTTTGACGTAGTATAACATCTATGTATGTTTATGTATATATATATATACACACACAACTAGAAGGAATCAGGCTGTGCAAGCATAGCTTAGCCCTACCAATAAAATTCTGGTTAAAATGCATCACATCATAATTTGCTTTCAAATAAGGAGCAATTACAATTCCTAAAAAATGAGCCTAAAAAATAAGGTTTATTTTTAGCAGAATGTTCCCAAAGTTTGCTCCAACTTGCTTATTGTAATGTAGTAGAGATATATTGTTGTATTGTATGGACAAATAACAATAAAGAATTTAAAAACCAAACACATGAAAAATGCAAAACCAGTTCAATGTTAACATAAATGGTATATGCTTCATAAAACTCAAACATCATGCTATTATAATTACAAATGCATAAAATTTCACCACTATTTCTTTTCAAACAAGACACCATCAAGTAAAAATTCCCATCCTACAATTTCACAATAAAACTTGGAAGAAATTGAAATGGAAGGTTTTTCAATGCATAAAAAGGGTACAAAAATTTAGTACCAAAGAATTACTAGATGAAGTGCTAGATTCAATTATGCATTGAAAAGGAACTAAAACATCAGAAATGCAAAACACAAATTTTGCATTTAGATTCAAGACAAATCTCACAAAAGGAGAATTGCCTTGCAGAACCAAAATAATTGAAGGCTTAATGAATCAAGGAGATCAAGCCAAAATAAATAAATACATCATGGTAACAGGATAAAGAAACTATACTGAGAACTTGAATAGTTGGGATAGATCAAAAGTGGGGATTGAAGGTTGGAGGCATATTGTAATTGCATCATCAAAATACCACAATTGGTATATTTAAACTTTTTCATGGAGAGCACCACAAAACAGAGTTATCTTCATTTAATTTTGGTTCGAAATTTTAGTCCAGCTGAAAACTGTCTTTTCAAAATTTTCCCTGTTTAGACCAGAGAATTACCAAATTAGTCGACTCAATTTTTTTAAGTAGGAGAGGGGTGGAATTTGCGAACGGGGAGGGGGAAGACGGGAATTGAATCCAAGACCTTTAGTTCGTGGGTCTAATCTTAGCTACTAGACTATCTCAACAGTCAACTCAATTTATTATACATGCTTGATCAATTCAGTTTAGTCTCATGAAGTTTCTTCAGCTTACAGTAATATTTGTATTGCATTATGACTTGAGTATTGGATTTTGTGTTTGGCTACTCCATTGATGCATGATGGTCAATCATCGTTTGATCATCATCAATGGTGTTCTATCTCTGCGTCTTCATGGTTTACTTCATCATTTACTGTATTAAATTGCACTGCTAGTTATTGCCTAGAGCAATATACACAAACTGTTCTATTTGCTCATCGGATTTCAGTTTTCGACTTTAGGGCTTTATCCGCATTGATCGTTTTGATCCTAAAACATGGATCATACCTGGTGATAACTCTAGAACCTACACACTGGAGAAAGAGCAGCTTTCACCTAGCAGAACTATTTATGACAGGAAGAAGAGGATGATTGAAATGAAGACCGTTGCTGATGTAATTGAGGCCCTCATTGGTGTATTCCTTTGCTCTACCAGTGAAATAGCAGCCTTAGCGTTTATGGAGTGGCTTGGTATTGAAGTTGACTCTATTTATGTGCCTTACATAAGGCCACTCCCTGCAAATCCAGGGGAGGTGGTCGATCTCAGATTTTTCGAGACTCGTTTGAATCAATACTCATTCCATGATGCTTCTCTCCTTGTTGAAGCACTTACTCATGGTTCATACAAGCGACCTGAGAACCCCAGATGCTATAAGGTAATCTCTGCCCTTGCTTTTTCTCATGTTGTTATAACGGTAAACCATTCTACTTGTTTTTTGAACAATTTATGATCTTGTTGGGAATGTCTTCAGTATTTCCTCTGTTTTATTTTCTCAACTTGATTGTGCATAGGCATGTTTTTTTGTTATGTCAAACTTTGATTTCCTGCAAAATTGTGAAGCACTTAAATCTCATCTACTGAAATATCTTTTTGGTTGCTCGTCCGGCTTTAGTATTTTTCCCAGTATTCATTTTAGTGGTTCAAGATATATATATTGCACCAAAAGAGAAGCTGTTTGATGTGTATGGTGATATTATTTGCTTGCAGAGATCAGCTTTTTGAAGTCTAGTGCCATATTTCATACTACAAGAAGTGGTATTAGTTGTACTTTTTTGGTCGAATTGATTAGTTACTTACAGGTTCGCTAGATCATTCGAGTCTATTTGAATTACCATATGTATTTCGGAGCCACCAGATTATTACTTGTTTAGTTGATAATAGCCCTGGAGATATATGTCTTTCCGCACACGATTACTTGATTAAGTGCAAAACTATGTCTGTTGGGAAAATTTACATAGGAGGGGTTTGCATGCTCTGGTTCTTCAATGGCTAGATTGCTTACATGATCCTTATATCATGCACTAGTTTGAATTTGTCAATAGTTCCATACTGCAGAAGATATCACTGGCATGCCTTCCAGCAAAGATATTATTGTGGATCTTGCAGAAAAGTATGAAGAATCGCAGAAATCTTGCAGAAAAGCTTATTGTGGATTAAGTCGACAGCAAAATTGACAACTGGTCCTTGAATTCTTCTGCAGCTGTAGAATTTCTGCCATATTAGCGGTCATATGAAGCCATCCAAGAAAATATCCAAGTGAACTTAAATGTTTCCAATAATTTAGAATTGGAATAAGCTTGTGATATTTTTCTCCTCATTAACATAAATTTCATATACAAGATCAAAGAAATTAGCCCAATTGCATGCAAATATAGATTTTTTTTGACGTCTTTTTCTTTTATCAACTGGACGATTATACACCGGAATAGTCAATTTGAACTCAACTTGATACTATAAATGAATTTTAATTCTTATTCGAATTCAACCTCAAGTTCGTTGAAAATCGAACTGGAATCAAGGCTAAACTATTAGTTAAGGGCTTGATTCATCTATAGCCCTAATGGGGACTTTAGCATAACATGACTATTGTACCCTCTTTTTATGTAATTGGTGCGTGGTGCAACAGCATCTTAAATAATGTTTATGGAGGCAAAATGACTAGCTTATCCTCCAATGTAACCATCAATTTTTTCATTAGCATAAAAGAGGTAGCCCATCAGTTTAAAAATCAGTGGAAACCTGTAATTTCTAATAAAAACTCGTTGAAATAATAGGTCTCATTCAAATCAATAATTGAATCATGTTTAAGACAATTTCAATGTGTAATAGGGAGTTTTTGGCTAAAATAACCTACTTTTCAAAAAATAATCCAAAGTAATGCTCTTTCAGTTTTTATTCCCTTGTTAATCTAGTCATTGCCACATAGGCTCCCTATCAAAGGAAAAGAATCACTTGTAGATCTTTCCTTCCATTTATTACATGATTTTTCTTTGTTTGGTGCCCCAAGGACATTCTATAAGCAAATTGAAAAAGGAAAGTGGGTTTAGAATTAGTGCTTCAAAAGTATCGACCACCTCCTAAATTGCAAATTTGCAGAGGAACTTCTTTTCCTACATAGCATTATTTTTTATCATAATATTACAAGTTCCTCTCTTTTTTCTTGTAACATGCAATTTTATATATGCCGGTCTCCTAACTTTGTACATTTTAAGAAGTTTGTAAAAATTCAAATTGTTTGACACGTGAGTAATCATTTCAAGATATGTGATGATCACAGTTTTTGTGAACAGCAAAAATTCCACTAGAGAGGGAAAAGATAATTAACAAAAAATTCTCTTGCATTTTTGGACTCATAACAAAAACCCTTTCAAAAAAAAGAGAGAAAAAAGAATATAACTAGGTCATTATTAGTACCCAAGTTAACACACTATTATATAGGCCAATCTAATGTGAGAAAATACTAATTAACTCAATAATAGATGAAGACATGACTTTATTTACCTTTGAGACTGCCATAAGTAGTAAAATTTAAACTGTTGAAATGTCATTAACAATCGATGCGGATTGTGACTATCATAAAGAAAGAATATAAGAGGACAACGTGGCAACAAGTAAATTAACAAAGGAATAAATTTTGAAAATGCAATAATTTGGCAATAATTTCGAAGGAGAATGTCATTGTGAAAATAAACTCGTGTAATAGGTGAAGAATCAGTTTTCTTGGCCGTTACAAGTGTAACTGAAGCCGCCTTCGAGTTCTTTTGCATTTTTTGGGCAGTTTCTTTTGGATATAATAACGGAAGTTATTACTACTAAAGATTGTTGGTTCAGCTGATCGTAGTTTGCATTTGGAGCAGCTGTTTGGAGAGGTATGTTTATTCTCTCTCTCTCTCTCTCTCTCTGCTGAGGATTAGGTATTTTTTAGAGTATTTTTCAAAAATTTGTTGTAATATTGTATTTGAAAATTGTTTTAATAGATGTATTAGGGTGTTTTCAGGGGTATTTTTTAGATGTATTTTAGGGTATTTTTAGAATTTAAAACATTTAAGGTATTTTTTAAAAGTTTAAACCACTGACTGCTACCACCAGCCGCTACCATCCTCTCTCTCCTCCTTCCTCTTTTCTTTTCTCTCTTTCTCTTTCTCCCCCTCCTTCTTTCTCTCTCTTCTCCCCTTCCCCTCCTTCCTTCTCCCTCCTTTCCTCCCCTCCCTTCCCTTTTCCCGCCGGCACCCTTCCCCTCCCTCTCTCTCTCCCCCTCCGTGACTGGTCACAACCAAAGGGCCTCAACCAGAGATTCAGATCTAGTAGTAACTGGTCGCAATCAGAAGCTAGTCGCGACCATCTAATCGATGGCCGTGCACCAACAACCAGATCTGAAGTGGAGGGGAAGGAGTTTCTGGCATAGGGAAAGGGTAGGGAGAGGAGAGGAGGAGGGAGGGGATGGTGGTAGTGGTGGTGGTAGGTGGCGATGGCGGTGGTGGGTGGCGAAAGAAAAAGAAGTGATAGAATTATTATTATTATTATTGTATTTGTGAGTTGTTTTTTACGGATTGATGTTTTTTAAGTTATTTTTATTTGTTTATTTCTGTAACATTGTATCTAAAAAATTAGTTTTTAAAAGATAGCAATATCCAAACAGAGCCAAATCTTGTTCAGATTCATTTGTAGATTTACAAAATATTGCATTTTGAGTTTGCAATTATAGTGTTGTCTCATTAGTTCTTTAGATATTGCACGAATCCTTTAATTTGAGTGCAAAATTAATGATTCCCATAAAAATATAAGAATACTATTAGATATTTAACCAAAATTTTAAAATTTTGATGCTCCTGATGGCAGAGGTTATCGATGCACTGCAAATTTGGTGATCAACGTATGTTCTAAATCTATACTAATAGCTCACAAATGTGTTAGATTTAATTTACCGAAAATATTCTATCTTGTGTGTAATCTCTCATTTTGTCTGCTTTGCATTTGTAAATTAAATTGTTATATTTATGATAGCACATGAAACATTTAAGTTGTCTGTCTTCGATTTAGGATGGATGGATCTAAAATTATTGATGAATAGTGCTATGGTACGGATGCCGACAGGTGGATCAATATAAAATAATGGCAATTGACTTGAACGTTCGGTTTTCTTTCCTTTTGTGATAGTTTAGAGTCTTTTGCATCCCTTTTTTGTGAATTAAATAATTCATCCAAAAGTACATGTAACTTTTTCAACTCAATGCATAAGATTGTCTTGTAAAATGGTAAGTTCTAAGTACTTAACAAAATTTACCTTTTTAATATTGAATCTTACCATTTATGTAATGCAATTTACTATATTTTTTTTGTCAAACTTACTCACTTTAGTGATAGGTAAGTTTCTAAGGTAAATTAGTAAGTTTGTCCAATAAAGTAGCAAATTTTAAAAGTTACCTTTTTATTTACTATCATTTTGATTAAACTTACTAATTTAGCTGTATGTAAGTTTTTCAAGTAAAATAGTAAGTTTGTGCAATAAAAAAGTAAATTTTGAAAATTACCTTTTTACTAGTCAAATTTACCATTTATCTGACAAAACTTAATTTTGAAAATTGCCTTTTTATTAGTCAAATTTACCATTTATCTGACAAAACTTACTATTGATCTCATTAAACTTACTAGTCTAGCTGTATGGAAGTTTTTCAAGTAAAATGGTAAGTTTGGACAATAAGGTAATAAGTTTTAGTCATCTATATAAGTTACCACGCATATACACAAAGTTTCTATTTATCTTCCACAATTTAGTATAATTGTAAAGAATTTACTAACCAAGCTTTAAGTATGTTTCACAAATATATTGGTAAGTTTGTGCAATGAAGTAGTAAATTTTAGTCCCTTACAAAAAATTACCTTTTATTAATAAGACTTACCATTTGTTTTTCAAAACTTACTATTAGTGTAATTAATTCTAATCCAACTTCGTGTAGGTTTCACATATAAAATAGTAAGTTTGTGCTATTAAGTAGTGAATTTGGCAAAACTAATGCTTACCAAATTAGTATTCAAACTTATTATTTTCATAGCACAATTTACCCTATAATCAAAATACCTTCCCATTTTCTCATCTAATGTTACTGTTTCTCAAGTAAATCATTGAACCATACCAAAAAAATCACCTTGCTCTAATTGGCCTGACAACATATAGCTGCTAAGTTTCGTTCAATCCTCCCTCTCTTTTCCTTTCGCCAGTTCTTGCACTATCCTTCCGACTAACTACTCCCTCTAAATTTAGAAAGGGCGAATCCGGCATGCAAATTATTGACCACAGAGAACTATAATGGCAAAAGAATTCAACTAGCAATGCATGTTTGGTGGAAAGAACATAACCTTTTGAATTAGCAATGCATGTTTAGCGGAAAGGAAACAACTTTTTTCATCAACGCTGCAGATAAAGCAAAAAATTGACAAACTCTATTGAGCAAAAAGTTTTTCAGCTGCAAAACGCGGAGATAATCATATTGTAGCTTGCTTATTCTCAAAAGGTTATACTTTTTTAATACAAAAATTCTAAATAATTGACATTGTCTACTCCTCGGCCACTTCTGATTAGGAGATCAAAGCAACATCAATTGAACCTAAGAGATCCTTCAAAGCTAAGAAAGATTTTGGGATTGATATCAATAACAAATCGCTAAGGATTTTGGGTATTGGTTTATGAAGTATTGATGAAAAATTGGTATTACAGTCGCATATATTTTGCCTTGAGATCAAAATGGATTAAAAGGGGTAGGGAAACAATGGGACTCGACAATGATCTTTTTTTTTTAATAATTAGAGATGGTTTAAGAGGACATGTGACACTTTTTTTTTGGTAAAATTAGGTAAAGAATTTGTAAATTTCATTTTACCATTTTTGCAATAAAGAGGTAATTCTCATCTGATATTAAAGCTTACTATTTTTATGACTGAATTTACCAATTTTATGATCAAATTTATTTCTTTACCTTCTTACCGTACTTTTCAAGTTTCTGGGACTCAAGAAACTTGAATGACTAGTAACAAAATGATCGTTAAAAGTACTGGTCTAGACTGTGGGGACTGCTTATAACTAGTTTTATCATTAAAATATTCAAAAGTGAGATGACAATAAGTCACCATAGCATTATCCTTGTGGCGACCCCACTTCCCCCTGAGGCGAACCAAAGGGTTGGCGGGCCGTCAGCCCAACTCTCGCCAGGACTCACGCGAGCAATCTAACCCGAATCCTTTCGAAGAATAACCTAATATATTACAAAACAATTTTTCCCGAATAGGATCATCCTTAAAGCCACATAAACTTCAGAGATAGCAGTGATAAAATAACCAGTCGGTGCTCTTAAACGTCCTACGTGCTACGTACCAAAGTATAAAGTCGCACCAATCCGGATAGATACATACATAAATCCCAAATACAAACTTACAAACCAAGTAATCGAATTAGGGTTTACACATTTTCCAGCTTCAAGTGGCAATCCAAAAAGAAAAGTACATTATCCCAAAAAAAACACATTACAGCCCACAGAATAAGTTATAGTAGTCAAATACAATCCATAAGGAAAACATAAGTAAGCATCCAGCTTTCAGTTTCCAGGACCTGTTAAGGAAAACAATAAACGTGGGGTGAGCTAAAGCTCAGTGGTGCCCCAAAACATGCAATCACATAAATCAAACAACGGATAACAATTTAAACAAATTTAATCAATTAATAAAGCGTATAACCGCACAAGGTAGGATACAGGGGCTCTCGGGAGCCATTCTCCTCGCTTGATCAGATACCCTCGTAGTTGACCCTCCGTCAACTTTCACTACTTATAGTCCATGTAGATCCACTTATTTTAATCCTAACCCGTCACCGTTCATACCTCTGCTTCGGGCCCGAACTTCGTCTACCGACGCAGTATACTCGAGATATACCCGTATAAAATTAGTCGAGGGATTCATCCAATGACGTGATTGCAATCAGATACATGCGTCGAGAAATTCACCAAACAACGTGATTGCAATCAGATACATGCGTCGAGGGATTCACCCAATGACTTATTGTAGTTAGATACATGCGTCGAGGAATTCACCCACCGACGTAACTACATATTGATTTATGGTAGTTAGATTCATGCGTCGAGGGATTCACCCAACGACGTAACTACACTTAGATTCAAGGATTTAGGAGAAAATATTTTGCACAAGTCACCACTCGAACGGCTAATGTGATAAAGTACACACAGCTCACTTCGATGGATCAGAAATCAATTTTTCAACCTATCACATAACAAGTCAAGAAAGCACTTTAAACGGATAGGCATAGAACAGGCAGGGACACTCACCAAGAGTGGAGTTCAGATATCAAATTGGGGATCGAATTCCGCTTCCTCGGAAAACCCTAAAACCAAAAATTTGAAACTATAAGTTTCTACTCAGTTTTTAAGCTTATAGCCATTGAGGTATATTTAATATACTACTAGTTCACTTTCCCTTTGAAAGATCAAGGGTTCCTTAGATTAAAACTTGACAACAGTAGAAAAGATATTTCTTATGGTTTTCCTTGAGGTACTTTACTAAAATAAAGTAACTAGTATTATTTTATTGAAATAAGTCGATAAACCTCTGAATATCAAAGCTAGAAAGTTACTTTGAACATTTCTCTAAAGATACGGCTTTTTGCAAGATTTATTCCCAAAAACTATTTTTCCTAAAAATAGAGTTTTCTTGCCGAGCAAGTCTCCCAGGCTTTTCGCTAAAATTTGTAAAACTCGTATTTTGAAATTTTTCCTAAAGTTAGCTATCCAATTGTAAAGCTTAAGGAAAGAAAAGAAATTGAAATAAGACCTAGAATTTTCAAAAGCTATAGCATTAAAATACTATAGCTATCAAGACTAGCTTGAGCTAAAGGAAATTATCAGGTTGAAAGTTTTAGGCAAAACACTAGATATTGAGTTTTTATATTATACTACTAGCTGGAAAATATTTTTGATTACTTTGACCACAGACACTCGAGTTCGCAAGATCGATACAACTTCCACAGTTCCGATTCCATCTTGAAATCATAATATGGATCAAAATATGGCGAAAATTATATAACAAATTACTAGGGCTTCGTCAATCATTAGCCCTAGATTTCAACAAGTGCATTTCTGAATAAAATAAAATGATCAACTAAGGCTTCATCAATCATTAGCACTTGGTTTCAGCAAGCCCATCATAAGCAAATAAAATAAAAGTAAAGCCTCCAAGACATTCCAACAATTTACTTTCGTCACCCTGTAATACTTGTAAAATCATTCAAATGGCCAAGGGCTTCATCAATCATTAGCCCTTGACAATATCAACCACTTCCAATCACAATTTAATCAAGAATTTAAACTACAGGTAAGCTAAAATCTCAACCCAAAACCCAATTTCTGTTTCTCAAAGAAACAGGACATTCATGCAAAACAGTCCACTTCAAAAATTCACAGACAGTAGTACACATGGAGGAAAAATACGAAATTTCTACAGGACAAAGGCCTATGATTCTAGTTTCAAACGCCACTGACGGCGCCTTAAACGGATTTTCCTACACCAAGATATCAACATTTTATTGAGACTGGTCATGGAATATCCGAAAATCTGAAGTTTCATTCTTCACTTGTGAAAAACTCCTTTTTCTCTTTTAACACCCAAATAATTTTATTTAAACCATCCATACACTTTTTATAGAACTCCAAAACACAAATTCCAGACATTTCCATCCATCAAGACTCAGGGAAATAATTAAAAATCAAGTTAAGATCCCAACTCAACCTTTAATTATCATATAAGAAATTCCAGCAACTAATATACTTTAGGTCCAGTTTTTCCCTTGGTTTAAACAGGGTGGTAGGTATTCAAATTCAGCATTTAAACACTTAGCTAGCTATTAAAAATTTCCACTTCAAAACCAATTTCATTCAGTGACTAAAATCATCCAGAAAATCCAAAAATAGTTTAAAATCCAAAAGAAAACAAACTGAAAATTTCTGATCATACCCCTCGACTATTCCAGAATTTTTCCAACCCTTGGGTGTTTATAAATCCAATTTTCCTTGGTTAAAACATGGTTTTAAATACCCAAATTAGTCATACAAAAACTTATCTAGCCAATTAGTACTTCCAATTCAAAATTTAACTTGAACAACAGCTGCAAATCCCCAAAATTTCCAGAATTTCTGCACAGCTAGCTTCGGACAACATACATGCAACAGATTGCATTTTTATTTTATTTCTCTGTTTTAAACTAACCAGTTAGTTGCATGCAGAGCCTAATTAACTTGTTATTAAACATCTAATCATGGTTATAAGTTTAAACAACAACATTAAACCAAATCAGGCTGCAAAAATTCAAGCTAAACTCTCGGCCAAATCAGAAATTCTTCCAGCTTTCGTTTAGTCACAAACCAGTTTTTTTTTTCTACGGTTAAGTCCTGCATTTTGCACTTAAATTCCACATGCACAACTGCTAAATTAAACTAGCTATCATATCCAGACCAGAAATCAAGTTTGACAGCAACAAAATTGAACCAATTTAAACTGCAATTAATTAAGCTAAGCACTCGGCAGGAATTTTCTTAACCCAAACCAGAATTTTTTCTCTGCTTTAACACTTCATCCGAATTCCCAAATCAACATGCTGTTAGGGTGGTTATCTAAATCTAACCACTGGTGAAAACCATCACCTTTAAACCCAAGATCTATATGGCGATTATTAAGAAATACATTAACTGTAAAATAGCGGAAGCGTACCTGAATCCATATTGATAAACTTGATACTTGAATCTCTAGAGATTTGGGGTGGCCTTCCAGGTCAACAGGTATTCACCAATCCTTTGAGAGAGGCCTTTAGTTTCTCTCTGGTATCTCTCCTGACAATGGGATATCAGGGAAAGGGTATTTTGTGGTATTAGGAAATACGACAACTGAAAACGATGCCTGTGACCTGGGGACCATAACCCTATTTATAGGTAACATTCCTGTTACCTTTGGAGCCCTATTTCAGCCCATCATTGAAATAGGAGCCCATAAGTTTCTACACATTAAAGGGCCCACATCCTATTAGATACATTAAACCTAAACTATATTTGATCACTTTAATTGGGTTTAATCTTAATTGATAGTTTGCAATACATAATTATTCACATATAAGTCCAATGTTGGATTAAGGATCCAACAATCTCCCACTTGGACTATATGTGTAACCTTATAATTATGTTTTGCAATTAACCGTATGAGCTCAACTTTACTGTCATTATCACAATGTATCTGCAACCAATTCGGTCCATCAATTACACCAATATAGGATCAAAGCGGCCTTTGTTACAATTTCGTAACTCGACCCATCAATGGTCACATATATCAATGCAATTGAATGACATGAATTATGATGTGGATGTGTAGCATGGAAATTTCATGTAATGTGATCAAAACATGTCTATTTCTAACTGGTCCACCTTAAATTTTATGAGATCAAACCATACCAAAGTTAGAGTGCAAATAAATCCAAACTTTATTTATGCATAAAATATCCTTAAATCCTTAATAACTGAAAAAGTATCATAAGAGCATTTAAAATAACAAACTCCCACTAAAACTGTACATCATTTAATACGACACCCATATGAGCAGTATGCTCATGAAACATTTTGGGTGGCAATCCTTTAGTAAGCGGATCCGCAACCATGGAGTTTGTCCCGATGTGCTCTATTGATAACTGTCCATTCTGCACTCTTTCTTTAACAGTCAGGAACTTGATATCTATATGTTTAGATTTGGTCGAGCTCCTGTTGTTATTGGAATATAAGACTGCTGACTTATTGTCACAGAAATAATTTGAGTGGTCTTTCAATGCCATCCACTACACGTAATCCCATGACGAAATTTCGCAGCCAAATTCCTTGGTTGGATGCCTCATAGCAAGCTATAAACTCTGCAGCCATAGTGGAAGATGCTATGAGGGACTGTTTAGCACTCTTCCAGGATATGGCACCTCCAGCCAACAAGTAGACATAGCCTGACGTTGACTTCATAGTATCTTTGCATCCAGCATAATCGGAATCAGTATACCCAATGATCTCCAACTCATCTGACTTCCGATACGTGAGCATGTAGTCTTTTGTTTTCTGTAGATACCGTAAGACCCGTTTGGTTGCTTTCCAATGATCTAATCCAGGATTACTCAAATATCTACCCAACATTCCAGTAATGTACGCAATATCCGGACGCGTACATACTTGAGCATACATTAGACTCCCTACTGCTGAGGCATAAGGAATCTTTTGCATCTCTCTTTCCTCAAAAGCATTCTTGGGACACTGCTCAAGACTAAATTTGTCTCCTTTAGCCACAGGGGTGTCACCTGGTTTACAATTTTGCATGCCATACCTTTTAAGGACTTTTCGATATAGCCCTTTTGTGATAGTCCTAAAATACCCCGAGAGCGATCACGGTGTATCTGTATGCCTAACACAAAAGATGCATCACCAAGATCTTTCATCTCAAAATTCTTAGTTAGAAATTTCTTGGTTTCATGCAATAGACCAATATCGTTGCTGGCAAGCAAAATATCATCAACATACAATACCAGAAAAATATATTTGCTCCCACAGAACTTATGGTATATGCAATCATCTACTAGATTCATCTCAAAATCAAATGAGATAATCACTGGATGAAATTTGAAATATCATTGTCGAGACGCTTGTTTGAGCCCATAGATGGATTTTTTAAGTTTGCAAACCATATTCTTTGGATCTCCTGATACAAAGTTTTCTGGTTGCACCATATAAATCGTCTCATCAATGTTACCATTGAGAAACGCTGTCTTTACATCCATCTGATGTAACTCAAGATCAAAATGTGCCACTAATGCCATGATAATTCTAAAGGAGTCCTTTGAAGAGACTGGAGAGAAGGTTTCTTTATAATCGATACCTTCCTTTTGTGTAAATCCCTTAGCGACAAGACGAGCTTTGTATCTTTCTACATTGCCTTTCGAATCCCTTTTGATTTTAAATATCCATTTACAACCAATGGGTTTCGCTTCTTCTGGCAATGGGACAAGATCCCAAACGTCGTTGTCCTTCATGGATTTAATCTCCTCATTCATGGCATCGATCCACTTTTGAGAATTTGAACTTTTCATGGCTTGACGGAAGTTGATTGGATCATCTTCCATCAATCCAGAGGCATCCTCATGTTCTTGGAGAAAAACAATGTAATCATCTGGCACTGCACTTCTCCTTTCTCTAGTGGATCTTCTTAATGGCACTGGTTCTTGAAAAGGAAGAGTTTGTTCTTCTATAATAGTTTGCTCTTCAACATTGTCTTGATTTGTCATGTCATGATCAAGTTCAGA